TACATGAGGGCAAGGAGGCGTGGAAGACATGGCATGTTTGAAGACCAGCGAGGGATTCTATGGAGCTTCAGCATCAGGTCCCAGGAAGAAAGAGGCAGGAGGAATGCCTTGAAGGGCAGTGTGGAGCAGACCACAATAACCTTACGAGTGGTACCTTGAACGCACAGGCTTACAGACACTAGAAAAGGGATGCTCTGTGCCAGTAATAAAACAAATGCCTTGTACTCTGAAGTCATGGGGAAAGAGAGAAAATGAAAAGGAAAGAGAAAGGCTTAGATGCCACATTACATTTTAAATAATGGTTAATGTTAGTTGCAAGAGTGTAATAGTCCCAGCTGCCTGGTGTAAGAATACATGCTATTTTCCAAGTACAGTGCTTTCCAGATAAGAGCTGGCTGAATTTAGGAGATGTTAAAAATTAAGCAGTACTGGGGGTGCCTGGGTGGCTCAGGTGGTTAAGTGTCTGCCTTCAGCCCAGGTCATGTTCCAGGGGTCCTGGGATCAAGCCCCACATCAGGCTCCCTGCTCAATGAAGACTCTGCTTCTCCCTCTCCCTCTGATCCTCCCCCAGCTTGTGCTCTCTCTCAAATAAATAAAATCTTAAAAAAAAAATTAAGCAGTACTCTTATTATTCAGCTAAGAAAAGGAGACTAGAACAAGCATTTTTTTTTTCTATTACTTTCCACTATGCAAACTCAGCACTGGAATTCAGTGAGGTCTAATGGACATGGAGGCATCACAAGACATAATATCTCCAATATCTTATTGGGGGCCTTCTAACTTAGGGGTCATGGGATGGGAGGAACAGCGACGAAATGCCTGCCGTCCTCCCTGCCCCAGTTTGACAATGGTTCATTCCACGGAGGTAGCAAACATCCCACTCCACTCTGCTGCCAACAAGACTTAAGTCTCAGGCCCTGTGGCGTGAGCCTTTGCATGACTCCTGCATTCCTAGGCGTTCCTATTTGGCTCCTCTCTTTGAAACCCGAGAATGCCTGGCCCAACCTGGCACTGGGCTGAGCTTAATCACACATACCACTCAGATCACGTTGCACTACCTGGAACCTCCACTCCTGTGTTACCTCCTGACAGCACCTCCTGCAGGTGAGAGATAATGTTCCCAGTCTGGCAAAAGTGTTTTCATACCTGGAGCCAATTTTCTCAAAGGAAGGGCATTCTCTTGGCAAAATGTCTTATGGTTTTCCATTTAGATAGGTTGCCCCTTGAATAAAAATGACCTGATAGACAGAAAGGTATGGCAGAAGGGTAGCTTTGAATTCAAAAGCTGAACGCCAATGCAGAAGCAGTGTTTGGAGAAAACTGTGTCCAAAGATGACCTCTGTAGAGGTCAGATGCAGACAGTCATCTTCCAGAAACAGAGAACTAAGCCTTTTCTACCACTGTTCCCCACAGCGTTTCACAGAGAATTAAGTACTGAATGCATATTGTCTGAGTGAATTCAAGAAGATCCCTGAACCCATAGACCTTGTTGCTGTCCTTTTCAAAATGCTATTTGAAAAAGTCCTTGCACCAGGGCACCTGGGTGGCTCAGTTGGTTGAGTGTCTGACTCTTGGTTTTTGGCTCAGGTCATGATCGATCTCAGGGTTGTGAGATTGAGCCCCATGTTGGGCTCTGTTTTCAGTGGGGAATCCGCTTGGGATTCTCTCTCCCTCTTCCCTCCCCCCCCCCCCCCCCGTTAACACATGTGTGAGCACACTCACTCTTAAATAAATAAATAAATCTTTAAAAAAGAAAAGGTCCCTTCATCAATGCAGGGACTACAATGATACCACAACCTTTCAGCTAAAGGAGAAGCGTGTAACTCCATGTCGTGGCCATTTAGGGGGAATCTGTTTAGATGCGATGTCCTACATAAGAATATAAAATATGAAGAGACATTTACTCTAAGATAACTTGAAATAAAATCAGATTCTTTATTCTTTTGATGACAAGTAATAATCTTAACACCTGGTCATTATGGTACTTTGTTATCTTGCAGGAATTTCTGTTTTAGAGAAACTCAAGAACTTCTCTCTTACTTCCTCACGATAAAGCTAAAAATAAAGACATTGGGCTGATACCAATGGTATTCAGTTTCCATTCTGAAAAAAGGTGAAAGTAGGTTACCACATACAAAGAAGTTAAAAGAATACACAGTGTCCTCTAGGTGGTCACAATGGCCCTCAAACATCCATAAAAGGAGTGGAGCTCAAGAGAAGAGATTCTCCATTGTCAATATCTTTACATCCCCTCAATTAATCACAGGCTTCCCTAAGCAAATGCAATGTTTGCTTAGAGATGCCAGATTTTATTTTGTGCCATTGACTATCTATAATTTAAAACACCCATACTTGTATATCATGTGCCTCTGTATCTACGCCACCCCCCCGCCTTTACCACCAACACTGTAGCTCTTGAAAGACAAGAACCATCTCTCACCTACTCTCTAGAAACTACAGAGTAGCTCAAATGCCATGTCCGCAACAAAGCCTTCTGCGATGACATGTCCTCAGGAGAACATGATCTCCCTGCAGCATCCTGCTGTGTTGAGCATCAGCACTACCTTTTGTCTCAAGATTTTAGCACATTCTCAGTCCTTTAAATAATTTCAAGCCCTTGAGGAATTAAAAGAAGCTCTTTCTCACCAAACAGCTGGAATTTATGTCCTAAATAATCAGGACTAAAAGCTAGCCAAGAGTAAGACACATATTAATCAAGCTAAATTACAGTATGGCCGTTTTTCTTCTAGCACAATTATCTTTGGCTTTAAGACACAAATGAATCATTAGGGTTCTGAATCTCTTCTGGCAAAGAAATACAGTATGAGCTGAATGCTCAACATTGTGAGTGTCATCAGAACAGTTCTATAGATATGAATTTGCCGAGTTAATCCCCCTTCATTATCTCCATTAGCTAACAATGCACATGTAGTCACTGAACATAATTACTGCTCTAACAGACGGGGACGTTTGAAATATTAACTTTCCCACAGACTCCAAATCTTCAGTAAGCAGCTCTCAACAATTCATTATATTAATCATGTATGTCACCACACTTCCATTAAATATGCATGAGATTAAACACCACTCATGTTGCAAACTGCTCAACATCATTTTTAATATAATTTATTACCTTTTAGATACTGTAATTATAACGGCACCTAGGTGCTGCTATAATAAATGGAAATTTAACTACCTAACCTCTAAGTGACCAGTATTATAACTAATTCCACTTTTATTTAATTTTTAACGTGCATTCATGAGAATATTTTATAATACAAAGTGTAAAATATTTACAAAATTAATATGTATTATGACATAGGGATGTCTAATTTAAAATTGCATAACGAAGGGATAAATTGATTTTCTTAGACTTAGGTACTTAAGACAATGGAAACTTATCAAGAAATTAGCATATAATATATTGATATCTATAAGAAAAGTACAACAGAAAGTATGATTTGGAATATTATGACATCATATTTCTAATCAAATATTTTACAGACTTCATAAATTCTATGTTTATGCAAATTATTGCAACAAAGACTAGATTTAATCCAAAAAAAGCAAACATAAAACCACCAGAAAAAGACAATAAAATTTCAAATGAAGGTAAAGAATACATCATCAGCCTTGGATCATGTTATTCCACACCTTATGGTTAATATGGCCATAGATCATTAAGTTAAGCATATAATGGAAATAATAGTAATAGCCACAGTTCACACTTACCAAGCACTTACTTAATTTAATATGTCGGGCACTATAATTAGAGCTTTACGTCCATATTTCATCTAATTTTCACAATAACCCAGTGAAGGAGATATTAATATTATTTGCACTTTATGGATATGGGAAGAGGTGACTAGCGTGGCATAAATGTCTCATCCAAGGACACAGGGCATGGCAGGAGAGGGGTCTGAGCCCCAAGTCTATCCTCCTAAACACAGTCAGCATCCAGCTGCCAGCTCTGGATTCACCATTTCCTTGTGTGGCCTCGGGTAAGTCACCTGAACTCTCTAAAGATCATTTCTTTTAGCTGCAAAATGCAAGTAATATTAATATATGCCAGAATGACTGAGAATGAAATAAGATGGCTTATGAGAAAGTACCATGCAAGTCGTGGAGTGACATAATGCTGGTTGTTATGTTATCGATGAGATAAGAAAATAAAATGCTGAAAATGAAGAAAAAAATTACACACTGACACCAAGTCAAAATTTTCCAACAAAAACGGTATACCTAGGTAAACGTTTCTGGTTATTTTAACTTGCTTAACATAGAAATTACTGCATAAAGGCAAATATGAATCAATATATTATATCCTAAGAGACAGATAAACACTAGTAGATTAAGTTACAAGTGAATAGTAACACTAGAACTGTAGATGTTCACTATGAAAACTGTGTGCATATTACTAGATTTGGCCTTTCAAAGAGCTCCTCAAGACTAAGGCTTTTTAAAGTTACCTGGAGTCATCATCAGGCCCTAATTTACTATGATCCACACATACATTTTGATTAGTGGCAGTATTTAAATTCTTAGGCCCAGGAAGGAGAAAGCAATATTCAAAAGTCTCATTCATCGTTTTAGATAAGTGATATGTCATCACTGGGTTTCTTTTTCCATAGGGCTTTGTGAGTGTCTATGGGTGTGGGTGTGGGTGTGCGTGTGCGTGTGGGTGTGAGCATGCAGAAGTCTATCAACATGTGACTGTTATGTATTTAGTGGCTTTCCACTTTTTTCTTAATGTTTATACTGTCAATTATTTAAAGGAAGTGTATATGGCTAAAATTATAGTGGTAGGGGCAAAGGGGCCATGTATTTCCAGCAATTCTTTATTCACTTTCAAGGTGCTCATGTCATTAGATGAGGAAGAAGGGAAGCTTTTATTTGCATAAACCCATGAATATACCAAGTCGCATTTCCAAGCATCCTGACCTGATGATTTTAAGAACGAAGAAAATCGCAAGAGTATATGGAATCAAGGTCCAACCTACCTCCGGGCCGTTCGTGCTCTCCATCGGTGTGTAAAAGCATGGCAATGGGCATCCCTACATTCTTGGATCTTCCAGCTACAACCACATTTTTCCCAAATGTTTCAATTCCTTAAAACACAGAGTTTGATTTAAATGAAGAATCAACAACAAGAAGCAGAGTAAACATTTGAACAGCCAGCTAAAGCATTCTTTAAAAACTTCTAATGAAATTTGAGCTATTGGGCGCCTGGGTGGCTCAGTTGGTTAAGTGACTGCCTTTGGCTCAGGTCATGATCCTGGAGTCCCGGGATCGAGTCCCACATCGGGCTCCCTGCTCGGCAGGGAGTCTGCTTCTCCCTCTGACCCTCCCCTCCTCATTCTCTCTCTCTCATTCTCTCTCTCAAATAAATAAATAAATAAAATCTTTAAAAAAAAGAAATATGAGTTATTGTGTGGCTTGTCTATAATGTGCCCACATTATTTATAAATATTCTTTTTACGCTTCTTGGCTTTGTCACTTCCTCTATAATTGTCCTTGTTAAAAAACTACATTTTCAAGTTGCCATTAAATTACTTGTAAACATGGAGATTCACATGAAGAGTGAGACATGCAAAGACTTAAAATATATTAACTACTAATTATAAAGTAAGCAAAGTACAACAATGTCGAGCTTAATTGGCAATCAAACTTTTAGCAAATCTGGAACAAAATGAAGTGGGTAAAAGTGTATTTTTTTACAAAGTTCATGCCCTTTACCCCATAGGAAAGAGGTGCTGAATTTCAGGGACTCAAAAAGGTCTGAAAGATAAAATTTGCAAATATAACACACTCTACTTTGTGTGGGCACAGTTGCTTCATAAGTAAAATGAAGAAGTTAGAATTAAGGTTTTTACAAGTAGTAATATCCTAAAAGGATGGTTCTAGGATCTGCTTTCTCTTGGAAATTTTCTCCTTCCATTAGAAAACAGCAGATTTGAAAGGAGAAGATGCTGTCAGAAATGGAAGGGACAGTCAGGGAGGCAGGATGATCACAAACATAAAAGCAGTATGGAATTGATTAACGTAGAGATAAACATTTCTCTATACACCTCAAGGGTTCAAGAGAGTATTACTGTATTTAGAGCACAATTCAAATGTAAACGTCTATAGGAAAAAAACCAGGTCATTAGAGATGGCTCAAATATGATCACCGCATTTTGTTTTTAAAGGTAAGGAAAACTACAATTCATTTTTGGAAAATGCACATTAAGTGTATAATTTAAAAGTAGGGAGACAAACCTACTCTTGGGAAAATTCACTCCTACAAGGTGCAACGGCATTTACCTGTACCTGGCATGCATTTTTCATTTTATTTTACTTTGGGTTATTCTTTGACTTCTATAACTTTACAACTTTCTATGGACTGAAGTTCTATGGCTTATCATTTTCTTTCACTCAGTAGTGAAATGGTTCCATCAGGGCACTGCACAAATGCTCAGTGTGGCCCTCAGCACCCACGTCCCATGGACCTCAAGTTACCAACCTGTCCTTTTGATGATTTCCCAAACAGCACTGGCAGTGGCAGGTATGAGAGAATGCTGATCAAGGCACAATCTTCCAATATTGATAATATGAAATCCATCTACATCTTTTTCAGGAGCAATTCCATTGCACACTGTTCGCTCGTCCACATGGTCTGAAAAGTAAATAAAATTGGTCTAATTTTAAAATGGTCATTTATTTGGAGGTCTTTACTTGAAATCTGCAGACCTACATTATGATTCGGCTTCAGGAAAGGTGTAAAATCATTACTCTGTCCTTTTTCTTTCCACCAAAATAGTCAAAGTGCTCTTGGATGATGGCTATAATTAACCACCATAAGAGTTTAGACAATTGCAGGGCCGGAAATGGCTGGCCCGGTGAAAGGGAAAAATGTGTGAAATAAAACAATGCCAATGAGACCTGGAAACAGCCAGGTCCTAAGTCTTTGCCTCAATAAGTTTACCTACTTAGTAGTTTAAATATATGTTTTTCCCATATAAGACATTTCCACAATTCGGCTTCTATTAAATATTTCCAGCATTATAGATTAAAAGGACTTTGTTGGTATTAAAATAATTATAACATCATTAGTGTGGCTAACTTCCTCCCAAATGACATAACAAAAAAGCAAATCACACACACACACACACTCCTTTCTCTGAAGCACTAGCACATCGATATCTAAAATATCATTTTGGTTTCTATTTGGAAGGAAAAGAACATAATAAGAGTAATAAACTAATCAAAAGAGATAGGAGATGCCAATCATCATCTCATTTTGAAAGGTAATAAGTAAAAATAATAAGACTTCCCCTAAACCCAACGATTAGCCCATGTGCCTAATATACTGAAATAAAGGTATTATTTGCTACATAAAAGTTTCTTTGTTCATCACACAATGGATGTCATTTAGATATAATTTTTAAAATCATTATCAAAGCCCAAGTCCAAATTGCTTTCAAAGAGCTATGCCTTGGGGCTCCTGGGTGGCTCAGTTGTTAAGCATCTGCCTTCGGCTCAGGTCATGATCCCAGGGTCCTGGGATCCAGCCCCACTTCGGACTCCCTGCTCAGCAGGAAGCCTGCTTCTCCCTCCCCTACTCCCCCTGCTTGTGTTCCCTCTCTCGCTGTGTCTCTCTCTGTCAAATAAATAAAATCTTTAAAAAAAAAAAAAAAAGAGCTATGCCTTTTACCTTAGATCTTTTGTATTCTAAATGGAATACTACTGCCATTTTACTTTAAATCCAATTTGCCAGCATTAAACTACCAAAGTCTTTTACATATATACAAGTAGTAATTTGAATTATGTTCATATAGAAATTGGGTCTTTGGAATGTCTCTCCAATCAACAGTTGTTCACTTTCAATAACTGTGCTTATTCTATAATGTTCTAGCAGAGTAAGTCTCCATCTGTTTTCTCTGAAACCAGATGATTATATAGGTTCTAGTAAAACTTCTTAAAAATCACATGTTTAATTTACTATTTGAGAACAAAAATAGTGGTTTCTTTTTTAATCTGGACGATATTGATAATTCATTTGTTAGACATTGACCACTCATGCAGAAGCTTCATGCCAAGGATATTTTTATAGTTGATCAAAAGCTTTGTAAATGAAAAGAAAAACAATTGCATTTGAGATCTCCATTATTGAGCTACGGCTTAAATTAATTCATTTCTAGGTTTAAAATTGGCTAATGTATGCATGGACTAGCCACTGATGGAAAGAACGCAGGTTTGGAGAGCCATCCTCTTACTGATAAGCCTGAGCTACACTGAATGTCACCATCTACTGGTCTGTGCTCTTCCATTCACTAAAATAACACTGCAGTTGTAACAAATCTCAGCTAAAATTCTTTTTTTTTTTTTAAGATTTTATTCATTTGAGAGAGAGAGAGAGAGAGAGAGCACAAGTAGGGTGAGGTAGAGGGAGAAGCAGACTCCCCGCTGAGCAGGAAGCCCGATGCAGAACTTGATCCCAGGATCCCGACCTGAGCCGAAGGCAGATGCCTAACCTAACCCAGGTGCCCCGCAGCTAAAATTCTTCTTCTTTTTTTTTGAAGATTTTATTTATTTGACACAGAGAGACACAGCGAGAGAGGGAACACAAGCAGGGGGAGTGGGAGAGGGAGAAGCAGGCTTCCCGCTGAGCAGAGAGCCTGATGTGGGACTCGATCCCAGGACCCTGGGACCATGACTTGAGCCAAAGGCAGACGCTTAACAACTGAGCCACCCAAGCGCCCCCACAGCTAAAATTCTTAAGAAGCTTTGTAAGCCATGTGAGAATGTGGAGGCTAGCACTAGAGACTGGTGATTATAGACCTGTCCTCTTAGGTACTTCTTAAATGGCAGCACAGTTCATAATCAGGCCACCATTTCCAAACAATTTTCTCTTAATTAAGCCACTTAAGTAATAGGTGTTTAAAAGACAGATGTGTGGACATACAAAGGCGTGACATAGAGAGTCCATGAAAACTGAGGTTATTTAGTCTAAAAGGAAAAGAACCTATATGAGTGGATTTAAAAAAATTAAGATCATAAGAATCAAGGAAACCAATTCATGTATCATATATACATACATACATTTTTATATAATTCTATGTTATCTCAGCAGTGAATTAAATCTCACTTGCATCCTTTGCCACGAAAGATATACCTTTTATTACGTTATGTACAGTGAATGGCAATAATGCAAATGAGCACAACTTACATTTACAGGGAATTTTACAATGTTCATGTTACTAGCACATCCATTTCCTTTTTTTTTTTTTTTTTAAAGATTTTATTTATTTATTTGAGAGAGAGAGAGAATGAGAGATAGAGAGCATGAGAGGGAAGAGGGTCAGAGGGAGAAGCAGACTCCCTGCCAAGCAGGGAGCCCGATGTGGGACTCGATCCCGGGACTCCAGGATCATGACCCGAGCCAAAGGCAGTCGCTTAACCAACTGAGCCACCCAGGCGCCCGCCTTTTTGATATTCATAGTTACTAGGGACTAAAATGGAAAAGGTATTATCATTTCCATTTTAAAGACAAAGCTCAAAGAATTTGAGATGCAGCCAACCTCAAACCACTACTAAGAGGAAGATCCAGAATTAAAATCTACATCTTTTTGCCCTAAAGTCAGTTTCTCCTTCTGTATATAGAAGTCATAAATATCAATCATCTCAAATACCATTCAAAAACTAAAACTGGGGGTGCCTGGGTGACTCAGTCAGTTGACTGTCTGACTCTTGATTTCAGCTCAGGTCATGATCTCAGGGTCATGAGATCAAGCCCTGTGTTGGGCTCAGCATAGAGGCTGCTTGAGATTCTCTCTCTCTCTTCCTCTGCCCCTCCCTCTTCTCATGCTCCCTCTTCGCCCCTCTCTAAATAAATAAATAAATAAAATATTTTTTTAAAAAGTTAAAATCAGAAGGGGCCCCCCCCATCCCTTCTAATCAAGACATTTGATAATCCTAACATATGCCAAGGAATGCACTGTTTCTTCTAGGCCTCCAAATACAACACAATTCCTAGGTTAAAACATGCCCAAACCCGTGCAGAAAAGCACTGCATATTTTCTTATATGAGTAAGGGAAATAAATACATTTTGTGCGTATGACTGACTGCTACTGAAAGTCCCCTGAAATTTCACTCTTGGGGCCATGACTTGAAGAAATAATCACGAGACTCAGTAGCATCAATTTTTTCACAGTGGTTGTAAAACATTTTTGACCCACAGAATACATTGGCAAATAAATAACCAGTTAATATCCTACCCAAATGAATGGGAAAACTGGCATTATTCACTTTGTGTTGCCCCTCTACTTATGATCTTGAGAGGTCATTAAATCATGCCAGAAAAAAAAAAAAAGCCTTCAAATTATAACCGTAACATTGCAATAGAACAGCGCAGGGAATGCCTTGAGAGACCACTCTATGCAACTACTCCACTGTGTGTATGATTGTATGTATGTTTGTGTGTGCATATGTGTGTGTGTGTGTGTATATGTGTATATATACATATATATATATATATATATATAGTTAATGTTTAATTGCCTTGGGACAAAGAACAGGAAAAAAAAAGAACAAATTATTGGTTTATTTTCCATCCAAAGATTTTTCTGTTACTGTTTAAAAGTACCCCCTTCCACTGCCTCAGTGGCTGTTGGAAAAGTGCAAGCTCATTAGCATAGTAAATAATACTGTCGTCAACCTGGTTATACCTTTTTCCTATAGTCTCCTCTCCAAGCGCTCCCTCCCTTTCCCATCCACCATCATCACATCGCCTTCTCTCCAGTATATCAAGCAGTGTCCCATTCCCTCATTCCCTTAACATTAACTTTGCATTTCTGTGCTATTGTTCATGAAATGCATGCTGACTCTTCCATAACTAATTCCTTCTTCCCTGTTCTTTCCCACCCTAGTCATTCCTTAACACATTGATTGATTGCTACCTGTTCCTTCATCATAAATTGAAATGTTATTTTTCTCCTCTGCTCTTCCACAAAACTGCTATAAAAAGTACTTAGCACATTAGTTCAGTTAGTTGACAACATTTGCCATTTAACTGTCTCTCTCACTCATGAGTGTGAACCTTTTAGAGCACAGATCTTTTCTTATTAAACCGATTCACCCATAGCTTTCTCCATCTCAGTTGATGGCAATTCCATCCTTCTGAGCTGCTTGCCAAAAAAGTATGGAGCCATTCTGACTCACACCCAACAACCACTCCATTGGAAAATCTGTTGAATTGCCTCTTTTAATAGATCTAGTACTTCAATAGTCTCACCGTGTCCATTGATACTAGTCTGGTTTGAGTGGCCATTATCTTGCCTATGAATTCTTACAACAGCCTCCTCCTTAATTCCCTGCTTTTACATTTGCATCCGTATATTTGCACCCATACAATCTATTTACAAAATAGCAATAGGGTTATACTTTTGAAATGCATTTTACATCACAAAAGTCTTCTTTTCAAAACCCTGCAATGCTTCCTATTTCCTTACAATGGCAAACAAGACCCTACATGATCTGTACTGCTCCAAAACTCTAGTTATCTGTCTGATCTCATCACTGGTTACTTTTCCCTCATCTTATTCTAATTGGCATTATTCTGCTCTTTTTGCTGTCCTTCAAACATATCAGGCATTTCCCAAATTGGCTATAGTTCT